AAGGAGCGGCCACGACTTTTAGCTTCGCGCGATGAGCTTGGACTGGAGGTCTGTGTTCTCGACAGTACCTTAATGGGTTAACTACCACACGAGCATGAAACAAACGCCATGACAGAACCCTTCAAGGGGAGGGTCTCCAACACCTCAACTCATGATATCTGAGTAGATACTACCCTCAGACAGATTACTTATTTACGCAACCTTGGGTCCGCACATCGTATACGGTGCTGTGGCTGCACCTCGTTTCCAAGGTCCCAGACTACTTCCATACCTGGAGGGCCAGCGGCGCGGGGAATTTAGTTACATCTACCAGAAGCCAAATATGGTAATGTCGGACTAGAGTTTAGTTGGCTTTTAGTCCGACTAAGTTTCCTCCTTCTCCAGGCCATTGGAAACGCATCGAAACTTACAATGAAATGAAAAGAGAGCTAGCTATCCATGATCTGCATGATGTGTGTCGCAGTCTGACCCATCCCACGCGGCGCAACTAACTAAATTAGAGCGACCTTTCTCCCCTCCCTCTCCAGCCACGGCCGATGCTTACAAGGGGGCGCTTATTCATTTCTCTTCTGGGCAGTTGAGGGGGGTTTCGGTCCACGAAAGATGGTTGTGAAGTGGTTTAATGGAGAGCTAATATTATTCGCAGCGCAGCCTATTGCTCCAATTTCCTTTTTCCTAACCGTGAAACCCTAAATCTGATCGGAAGGGAAAGCCAGCCGGGCGGGAGTGAAAAAAAGAGTATGGGAAGACATGGACCCGCGACGGATAGATGTTGATGGCATGGGGAGAAACCTTCCTGACATGGAAGGACACCTTTGGCTCAGAAAGTCTAGGACCAGTTGAATCTCTCTTATGCACGTCAATATCCATAGGTGTCCATTCATATCCATGGGGAGGTTCCAGGGTTGTTCCTCTCCCATAATCCGTATCCTTACGTCATTGAGGCCTAATTGACGGTTGCATCCGACGCTCTCACTTCTCAAACGGACGAACAATGTGATTGTCTTTGGGACTTGATACTCCTCTATCATATCATATCAGACTATACTATTGGGCCTGTTAAAACAGACGTTCAATTTTTCTCAAGAGGAGTCGGTCGCATCGAAGAAAAGAAGATGTCCCGTTTACCCGGAACCTCGGGGGGGGAGGAGGATGTTAGGATAAATTTTCCTTACTCCACCTTTTTACCTGACCCTAGGTACCTAACGAACTAGGGAGGAAGTTAAGTATAGCTCGTAAACTACTCTGTACGCCAACAACGGGACACTCCGTCCAAGCTATCCGATCGCCAGATGTCATGATTGGAGAAAAGTGGGTGAGTGGGCGCGCACAGGGCAACTCCGCGGCCCACGAATCATCCAGGTTACAAGTTTCATCTTCAACCTTTTCTTACAATTTAAGACTTGAGTCCGGCTGGGCTGACATTTACTAGTAGTACTAGTAGTAGTACTACTAGTATTGCAATACCTATGCCTTACAGTATCACTACCGAATTGAGCCACTTGCATACCAACCGGATGAAAGAGAAAGCGATATGATTGGCGTTGAGCCCTCCGACCAAGCTTTATAGCGCATGTCTGCTTTTCACAAGAGACGGGAAATGCAAAAGAATCCGACCTCGTGAAATCTCAATACACGGGAATCCCATTCATCGTCATTAATTACCATTGATCCCCCTCCTTATTCCATCCTTGGCCGTTGCGCACGGAAGCGTCAATCCTCATAGGTCGAACTTGGCTGCACATGTCCGTCTGCCCAGAAGTTGTACAATTGTTTCCCATCGATGTTAATTATATCAGCCCTTCCTCCCAATCAATTTGCTCCACAGCTTGGCGAGTCATATCATGTTTACCCCTGCATTCTATCGAACCGGTTCCGCTACGGTTCTCTCAATCAGGCCCAATCACCGATACGGTGGATACGAGGGTCGCCCCTCCCCCGTATCTGTTACCTAGTCGTTTTCTCCCTGGAGATCTGATAGGCCTACCGATGCACAATTAGGAGCCGAACAGCCATACTATTGTGGGTTTCATTTGGTCCATGCGTTCTTAGGAAGATGATCAAGATGACATGCACAGTCCTCCACCCCCCCATGTCAATGTCTGATGGATACGCTACCTCCTCGGCGACCACGGATCGCGTTCCATCCCAAGGCCTTTTGACTAAGCCCTAATATATCCCGTATTTGTCAATGGTTCACATCGCCGATAGGTTTGACCGTCGCTTTAGCAACCTCCCTGGTAACGGAACGAGGGTATCCGTCTTGACTTCAACTGATTGTTGTTACTCTCACTAGCCCCCGTTCAGCCACTTTCAAACAGCCAAGGGAAGGGCCGACAGGACTAACACATACCCTTCTGTCTTCAGCCAGAAGCGCCGTGTCCTAGTTGCACTTGCAATTCTCGGCCATCAACGTTGATTAATATCGCAGCATACAGATGACTCTGCGACAATTAAAGCAGGCTAGTATAGGCTACCTGTCCATGGCATAAAACGATGGGCAAAGCGTAGGGATTCACCAGGGAACCATGTGTAACCCTCTCTACGATTGTGGAGTACCTAGTATTCATGCCGGTCTGCTCAAATGAGTTCCAGAACAGATTTTACATGTTTGCGATTCAGATCAGGAGGCGAATGTCGAGATCACAAATGAAATGTTTGACTCTGTTGGCGGGGGCGTAAGCCGCCCATGATACCCCTTTTGGACAGCGACATGAAAGCGCACTGACCTGATTATAATTTATGTTCGCCTACTTTGAACATCAATGACCATTCAGAATGCTTTACCTCGCCAAGCCAGCACTGAAATACTGACGAATGGGAACATCCTTCGTGATCCTGGTAAGGGTGTCTTGTGGGCCCCGCATAGGATCCACGAGGCTTTACACAGTACAGCATTGGGCGGCTGTGGCGTAGAACTATACGCAAGTAGATTGAACTGTAGGGAAAGGTGATAACTATAACTGGTTAGGAAGGAAAAGGTTGTGTATTTAGGAATGAATCGTAAGTTTGAGCTCGAATCTGATTGTACAAACAATTAAAGTCTACATACAGTCATAGTTGCACGTGAGTGCCAGTAACTGAGAAACAATCCAATCAATGTTATCCCCAAGAAGTGCGAGTATTAAAGAGTATAACCAATAACTGAAAACAGTCCTAGAAGAGGTGAAGGTATGAATTTGGGCAACCTGGGTAATATGGTGCGGTGGCTTCCAGAATTTTTTTTAAGTATATGAATATCCATATACCGAGGACATATCATCGATGACTTTGTTCCATGAAGCATATGAAAATGGGATGATGTGTGCGCCTTCGGGCCTCTAACAGACTCCTATAAACTACCCTCAAATAGTCGACTCAGTGGGTATGTATACGCAGCTCGAAGGTTGATGTATATTTTCGTTTAGTAACCCCTTTATTTTGCACTGCTCTGTTGGGCTTCGCTTGATATTGTAGTAAACCTACAAGTCTCATTGCGGACTTGGATCATTTATGTTTCTTAATGGCTGGCGGCTTGTAGCTCTGGAGGTGCCATTTACTAGATAAATGGAGGCTTCCAATGGCACATCGTAAATTTGCTTCTCTACTTGCCCATCTGTCTGCAGTAGGGAGATTAGAGACACTCCAAGGAGTAGAGCGGAGGGAATCCTTGGAGTGTATGATAAGGATCTCTATCGCCCGGACAGTCCAGAACAAGACCAACTCCTCCACCCCCTCCTGGACAGCATCGAGATGGTAGAGATCACGGCGGGATACTGGGTGGTCGAGATAATGATTATGGAGAAGATTAATAAACTCTTCCCAGTGGGACGGCATGACGTGATGAGAGAATGTCTGTTTAGGAAGGAGATATACAAGCCAGAAGAAAATCAGCTTCTTGAACATGTCTTGCCGAAACTCGGATATGTAACTGCATCCCGGTGGAATCTGAAACACCAATCGTACCTCTCATCCGATGCTCTGGTGTCTTCTTGTACATATACAATTACAAGATCTCGCAACAATACCTCGTAAGTTAAGCCTTTAATCGTCATATATTTTTCGGAAGCAAAGAGTTTGACATGGATGAAACAGAACCAGCCCTCAGGACCCGCTTCATGTTAGCTAGACTACCCAGTTCAATCTGCCCGTGGCTAGAATGAACATGTATGGAAAAGTATGCTCGCAGAGTAGCAGAGGTAGAGAGGGCAAACGGGGAGTGTGAACCAGGGAGTTTAAGACTGATAGATCTTGTCCCAGCGCAATACTGGTCACCAGTAAATAGTTTCCTCCATCACCTTTTTCATTGCCTTTTCCGAAACACGCCTTTTGATTTCGGCTGCTGTGGTTCCGGTTATTTCTGAGATATTGTTGGTAATGTGTCGGTTGATATTATTGCGCGATGACCTTCCTCTATAGAGTCCATTTGACGTGAATATGGCGATGCCATATTGTTGGTATCTCTGCCTACGATGAATGTAAACATCTTTGTCCAGAAAAGTTTTTTTTTTTTAGCTCTGATAAGAGCCATGCGTGAGCTTCTGGTCTCGGCTCTCTATTGTTCAATGGCCTGGGGTTGTTGATAATAACTTGTATTTGATAGGCCGCACCCATATGAGTCTTTATATAGAATGCCCATTTATGTAAGAGTAGGTCTTCGGGGTTATTGACGGAGGTGGAAAGCTAGGTGGCCGGCGGAATCTGACTTGGAATATGATTAGTTCTGTGACGCTCTCCAGGAGGATAAACTTCCATTATTATAAAGACTTTTCTGTCAGCGATTTTTAACTCTTCAGGGAAAACAACCCCATAAAGTAGATATGGATATGTGAGGTCGCTTAATCCTCGAGTTAGAACCCGCCCTCCATATTATAAAAATCTGTGTTTCGCCAGAGGAATTAGTTTAATCCTTATATTTTAAAGCCCCCTGCTTCAGAGATATTGGTTTGTATAGAGGAATCTTGATTAGGTTAAGCCCCTCCCTGATAACATTGGACGCAAAAGATTGAAGAATATCGGCTTCAGCTTCGAAGAGCGAGGAGTCTCTTCACCAACAGAGGACGACTCTCAGCCCAACCATTCAGAATCTTCAGTGGAATCGGTAGTTGAATCTTCAGAAGAGGGAAATCAAAAGCAAGACAGTTGCGGCTATGACGCGGGTTTTCCCAGTACCCGGAGGACCGATGATCATCGGATGCTACAGGCCGACGGCTCATATTGGTCGATGGTCTCACGTTCCGTAGTTCCAGTACGATAGATCTCGGTTTCATGAGACTAGTCTTCCTATATCTGATATAACAGTGCTTTGGTTGTGCGCACATAATCGCCAGTTTTGAGTTCACTAAGAAAGGCGCTTTCCGTGGGAGGCCCGTGTTATCCTGTGTAGAACGGATTAGACGAGCCAGGCAAGCACGTATATGCATTGTCATAGTTAAGGTCCCTCGCCAGTTCCTTTGCATTCTCTTGTTGCACCATTGGGTAAGCTTCAAGATCTCTGCTTGCTTAACGATCTTGTATTTCTTCACAAAATCCAACTCCCAAGTCTTACTATTAAACTGCCAATCCTTCAGCGCCACCTTGAATTCTCTGGAAGTATCCGCTAGGGTTTTGGCGTAACCCTTAAGCATCTGGAAGGCTTGCTCTATCTGAGCGAGTTTATTTTTCCATAGTAGGCGCATGTGTACTCGGCGTATGCTTCTAGATAATCGTCGTGTGTCGCTTTTAAGCTTGTGGAAAGCAGCCATTTAGAAGCTTACCTGCTTGACAGTCTGATAATATTGACATTTGCTTGCTGAGAATACAAATCTTGCCTATCCCGTAATGGCTGTCTTTTTGGGATGGATCCCCCTTCCATATTTGATGATATGATGCTGGAATATTACCGCTGGTATACCCCATGGGTGCGCTTGGACGTCTCAGCGATACGTAATCTGTCGTAGAGCATTCCTAAGAATTCGCCATGTTTTATATGGAGCGCGGATTCTAAACCAAACAGGTCTCTCAACGCGGCTTGTTGGTTCATATCGAATTGCACTGTTCCGTCCGCCCACTGAACGTGGCGCGTCGAGTGTTGCTTTTAGGATGTATTTCCACTGAATATTCTGCGTACCATATCTGGGACTTTCTTACCAATTGCTTAGGCCGCTGGTCGCCTTGTAATCCGCAAAGCGCATGTCGATATCGAGGTGCATATCGCGCGTTCATCTCTTGTCTAATGTTTTGTTGTATACGCCCCTGCTCCCCCGCCTCGTTGCCCACTGCCGTGACATGTTCGAGGTTTATATTCGCCCTAGGATTACCGGAATATCGCGAGAGTTCACAATGGTTCGTTCATGGTGCTCATCCGTAGTGTGTATGGGCGTACTCCCCCACAGCAATCACACAGTTCATCCCGTCGTGTTCTCTTCTCGGCAGGCCATTGCTGACTATCTGGTGGGGAGTTCCTCTGGCCTCCGTCACCACGTCTACCGGGAGGCTTTCCACCACCACCACCATCACCACTGGCAACCTGAGGGGTAGGAAGGTAGAAAAGCCCCCCGGAGTTATCCACCACAGTGGCCATGGCAGACGTGGAAGAAAAAAGAAAGGGATACTATTTCACCCCTGTTTAAGGTAAAGTAGTGATTGTGCCACCAGGAATGACCCTCCAGATGGGAAACAGAGTAGTTAATGAGATTTCGAACCCCAGGTGCATCCTTTGGGTTCATTTTTGGGGCGAGCAAGTGGCCTCCGTTTTCGAAGAACAGCCTGAAGAATGATAGTTATTCTTACCCTTGCAAGTGCCTCATTTTCGGCACTGCTGCCAGTCACGAAGGACAGTCAGACCATATCGTTAAAGCCGTGGATTTCAAGGATAAATGTCACTGTGTGAGATATATTCCCTGATAACTAACCATTAATTTCCTTGTCAAAGTAGAGAGCTAGTTTAGGAAACCAGAACAGCCGAGGACAGATTGTACGAATTAAAAGAAATTGTTTCTGATTAATCTCAGAGTCGGGCTGTAGGTCCGAGCAACTTTGTAAGGTCAAATTGACCACTCCAGCCCGAATTGCTGCGCGTTGCCAACCCTGATGGTCCCTTGGAAGTTTTTCGAAGTACATTAGGAGTGAGGATTTATTTCAGTTGAGCTCAGACTGTGCCTCGCAGCAGCACAAGTCTTAGAAATGCGAGGTTGTTGGTTTTGGGCGACGCCGAAGAACATGATGTCTGTAGACCTAAGATTCCCCGAGAATTCCCATCCATGGTGAAGGTGATACACCCAAGCATCAGCGTCAGCTCTATCTTGTGGGGGACGGGGGCGAGGGCAATGAAAAAGCTGTTAGCCTTCATTGAATTGTACATCGCATGCGTTGTCTCTAGCTCGACACTCGAGGTAGACTTCAACGTGCCGCCATAATAGCTTGGATTTCTATTGCACATCCAGTGGATGGCCATCCTGTTCATAATCATTCACATCGGGATGGATTCCGACGCAGCCATGGCTCGGACGAAGGGGCGCTCAAGGATATAAAGGTGATCCTAGAGTCGAACCATGCAGCATACATACCGTGGGCTTTTAGAACGAATCGTCCCTAATATTGTATTAGCTAGTGCTTCTTTTATGGCCAATAAAGCCACATACAGGATTTGATCATTTCCAAGTCCCTCCCACTCTTACCACTGGTTGCCATAGTATTGCAACCGGCCGAACCATGTTCACATTGTTTGAGGGGTGCATTGATGATGGTCACATAGGTCAAACTCATGGATTGTCTTGGGTGAAGGGATAGTTCACTTGGTTTGTGAATCTGCCACCAGTTCATTAGGCCAATCGAGCAGGAATAGAGCTCGAGGTTGTAGCACCCCAAGAATGATACTCGGATGAGAGCCGTACACGATATGTTGAAGTATCTGAACGTCTTCTCGCTGGCTAGGTGTATAACAGCTGACATGCTCAGAATCCAGTGGTGGACTCTACCTCGTCTCTTAATAGGCCATGTGGTGCTTTAGAATATGTCTTTTGTACATTGTTGAGTTTCTAGAGACAACAAAATCCCAGATATAAGGTGTAGAAAGACGGCAGAAGTACACAAGCTAACGATATGATATCGGTGACCGCGGGCGAGTAATATTAGCTTTGAGGCATGAAAACTTGTGAATGCCAGTTCAACATAACTCGGGCCTTGTCGGCTCTATGGCATGGTGCGTTTTTCATGGGTCTGTGTCTGTTTTCGTGTCGAGAATCTGTGATTTATCCAGGCACGGCTCTGGGATGATAGGTTGTGCTGTGCCTACAGCCTGGGAATAAGTTGCTCAGGCATAGGAAAAGCAGCGTGATGTGCCTGATAACTTAATTTAGGATTAGAAAACAATATCATTTATTCAGATTAGGGGTTGATGATGTGGTAATAGGGTGTTAGATGGCTGAGGCCGCTAATCGAGAGGCGAGTCATATCTCTTCTTTGCTCGAGGCTTTAGATGGATGATCGAAACAAGGAATAGATCTCTTTATAGCTTGAGAGGTTGTTAGAAGGTAGACACCAGGCGAAAGATAGCCCTTCATATAGATCTCTGAAGGTGGGAATTTTACATTGCCATTCAGACCAGTTCGAGATATAGTGATAGCACACAGCAAATAGAGAATGTAAACCACATACCCCATTCCCCTACCAATATTCACGGTAGGGGTATATAACGTGCTAAGGATTTCTATCATCTAAACTAAGTTAAGGTAAAGATTAAAGTCAACATAAGATTATATTCATATCGAGCATTCCATTCCTCCGATCGTGGAATGTGATCCTTCTCTAGGCTCTACAAAGTATCCCGAACCCTAATCACGACATCGATTTGTGCATTCTATCCGGTATCATTATTGGATATGTGAAATCATATGTCTAGGGAATATTTAACAAGGGTATAATCCAGGAAGAAATTTCCTTTACCTCGACAAGATGAGTGTATTCAATACTAATTCTCATTCCAATCTGCCAATACCCCGGCACTTCAATTCGCTGGGACTCCCGGGTATCTTGGCGTAATTGTGTACAGCTTTCCACTGATGTTTATAATTGTTATGTTGGATTCAAAATATTTTCCTAGGTGTATACAATGTCTCAATTATCCCTAATAGGTATCTATTAATATATAGACCCCTGGATTAGACTTAGTAAGTTAATTATCATACAAAGTTCACCACCCTTACATACCCATCACCCTAACCCTAACTCACTAAATCCAGTTTCAAAAGACACAACAAAAACACCACCACCACCACAAATCTATTAATAACGCCAACCAAAAGAACCAAAAGCAAAGCAAAGAAAGATAAAACCCCAAACCCCTCCTAATCGACGGCCCCCCTTCCCAATCGGTCTTTTGTTGTCACAGATCTCAACAATTCCCTGGTTTCATTTGTGTGCGCGAACCAATACGCTTGCATCTCGGATAAGAAACCATGGTTCAAAGTGGGGAGTCGAGAGCACCTGAGGATTGTTTTTTTTTGAGAGATGTAATTATTAATTACATTTCTTTAGATTTGGAAATTGGGATTGGCATTGTGGCTTTGGATTTTCATTACTTTTTTCGATTTAATTCTTCTGGTATCCTGGGTGATTTAATGCTGGTTTTAATTAGGGCTTCAGTGAACTGGAACTAGTGACTACAGTCTGAGACACAGAGGTCTAGAATTTATTGAAAAGTGTTGTTTATGAATAGTTTCTTTCCATTTGATCCACTTCATTCCCGAATTGAGGAATTGGAACTTTGAACTCCTACTCCGTATTTACACCGGGATTCCATGGAATAAAAGATAACTGACCCAAGTTAAACCATCTAAATAAACCCTTTCCATCCCAGGCCCAAAAAATGTAACACCGATCCCTTTCCTTGCCTAATTTTCTAACCCGTAATTTTTTGGTGGTTTGTTTTCTTTCTTTCTTTTTTTTTTTTTTTTTTGAGAAATATTTACCGAAGGGAAATCTGTCCATCAGGATTGGTAAGTGTAGGCTTTTCCACTGGCGCTCAGGTCGCTGCCCTCCAGCAAGAAGCCATCGGCACACATGTAGTAGGCATAGCGACCGATGCCGCTCTGCGAGTCGAGCCAGGGGACCACCTCGTTCAGGAAGTCGGTGGATTCCTGAGTACCTGAGCCGGCGGTCATGGCACTGCTGAGTGCGAACTCCGTCACCCAGGTTTCCTGGAGGTTGTACTGGGACGCAAGCTGCTGGGCCTCCTGGACGAAGGTCTTGAATTCGTCGGCTGAGGCACCGTACCAGTGCACGGCGAGCACGCTCATGCCGCAGTCGTTGCAGGCGTCGAGGAACTGGCGCATCCAGCCGAGACCCATGTTGTCGCCGCCACCGTTGGTCACGGCGGGCGTGACCAGCTTGGCCTTGCCGCTGTAGGGTGTGATGTAGGTGGAGTAGGACTCGGCAGCTTCGGAGGGGGTCATGGCGGCTTGAGAGCTGGCATCGGGCTCGTTGAAGCCCATGATGTAGTTACAGCCGCTGCCGAGCACGGTTTGGATGGTGGTGAACCAGTCGCCGAACATCTTACGGCCCCAGAGCATGGGGACGAACTCGACACCCGAGGGAAGGGTGCCCATAGCGATCATGTTCCAGTCGTAGGCCCAGGAGATGGCGCCGTTGCTGCCGAGGGTCTCGACGGTCGAGGCGTCGTTGTAGGCGGCACCACGCTTGCTGGAGGAGCGCTTCGTGACGTGCACATGGGAGTGCTTGTGGGCGTGGGGGGCGGCCACAGCGGTGGAGGCGAGGAGGCCGGCGGTGATGAGCTTTGTGAAGGAGACCATTGTGATGAGACTTTTTTTTTTTTCTTCTGTTTCTCTGTAGTTCCTCAAACTTTGTAATGCAGGTGCAAAAAGAGAGAAGACCGGTTCTCTAGAAATAAAGATGGTCGGATAAAGAAAAGACAGTGGCGCTTGATTGTAGTCAAGCGGTACTTCTGAAAGGAATGACTGATTGACCGTGCACGGCACAGGACAATACCAGATAATGAGTGTGGGAGGAAGAGAAAGAGAGAATTGAGGTACAGAGGAAGGAGGGGAGAAGGGAAAAGAAAAGCAGGAGGTGAGGGGGAGGAAGTAAAAAAGGGTTATATAGGGCATCCCTCCTCTCCCCTCATGCCCTAGTTTTGTTGTCGAGTGGAAAAAGTATCCTCGACATTTTGTTTTGATTTTGGAACTATACTCTTTTATGCCTAGCTGGGTTTAAAATGGGGACTATTTTCTCATGGAGAATTATTGGCATTATAATTATTTATTCTTCTGTTCCTGTGCCTGAGTGGCAGCTCCTCTCGGAACCACGGATGCATCGCCAGTGGCACCGAATGAGAGTCTTAGGGCAGACCTTCGGACACCACATGCATTAATCAGTAGTACCAGGGGTTTGTTTTTGTCGCTGTCAATGAGTACTGGTCACATCGGTCCATCTACTCGGGGAAAATAATACCTTTCCATCTTCCAATCTTCTTTTTCTCTCTTCGTCTCCTTGATCGGGAATATCCGTCGGAGAGTCGGAAAGTCGACAGCCAGTCCAAAAGTACCGCAACCAGATCCGACATGCAGGTACCAACACACACGCACACACATTTGTCGGTGTGGGAGAGGAAGTGATTGTACTGAGATGTACATGGACCATGCATGAGACTAAAGAGGCGCTACACTAGTCAAGGTCAAGTCCACTCCACCAGGGATCCATTGGCAGTCCAGACCTTGTCCATCGGGTAATCTTCAGGCTTTTCCGGTCCCCTCGTATTGTTTACACATCAGATTCTCGGCAAATGGACCTATCGAATATTGAGATTTCATGCAGCATACAAAGGTATGATTCATGCCTGAGTATTTCCCTCATGGCTGTTCATCGAGTAGTGAGTACGTAGAGATTGAGCGGTGCTGCTGCCCTTAAAATATGGCGACTGTCCTGATCGGCCACCGGGAACGAGTTAAGCATCAGCCGGGGTCAAAACTAACGGGACTTAAAATCCAATCACCGTTTTCTAGCGCCCGTCGGCCACCACATCTGAAACAAAGGCGAATGAACTCCCTCGTCACAGGTGACGTGTGCCTGCCCCAAGCCTCAAGCCATCTCAATATATTGACCGTGTTGCCTGACCTATTTTTGGTCTCGTGGACGGATGGAAGCCAAATACGGTCTATATAGCCCCTATGTTTAGGCACCCGATGGTGTTGCCTCTGTTTCCTCTGCTGTCAGTTTCATCGTCGGAACTTCTTGTTCTTTCTTTTCCTCGGGTGCCATGGAACAAACAACCCTCCCCCCTCTGAGGGTCTTCCTTTTTAGCGGCTGTCAACCATAACCTGGGCCCAGCCTATCAATTTGGTGGCCCTCGACGTCGGTCTTTCCTGGTTGGATTCCCTGGGCCCACGTCTCAATGGCCGCCCAAAGTCAATCTATGCCAATGACAACCGTCACAACCCACGATGGCGCTCTTCAGTGAATCCACATATGGAGACGCACATGCTCTGGCCTGTGGCGAGAACCTTCAGAGATTTCTTGTCAAACAGTCTTTTCCTATTGAACCAGTGAGTTGAGAAGCAGACGAGGAATGTTCCCCGAGGCGTCTCTTACTCATTCGTTCGGTGAGGGACCGTTTCGTCATCCATCCTTGCGTGGACGGACTCGGCGCCTTGCCCACGTCAACCCATTGACATTGTTCCGTCCGTGCGGAGATTAATTATCTGTCGCGAATGGTTTTCCAGTCGGCATTTCAACCACTGACAGAGTTCTCATGCATGTCAAAATATCGGGTTAGGGCAGTATCAGCTGCATTGTGGTATTGCAACACATCTAAGGGGGAAAGTCCACTTATGCAGGGCTGAGTAAGCTCTCGGTCCTCAGGCTGCGATGCGATACTTGGGATGTGAACCTGATCACTCCCTGCAAGGTACACGACGGCTTCCCTACATCTGGACGGAATATAGCCGAGCACCGATGTAGTGGCGATCATATCATCCGTATATCGGCGAGGCAGTCCGCACAGTGGGTTCCTTGCACTCCTCTGATGCTCTCTGTATTAGGACTTGTTCTGATATCTACACTTATCTTCTCTCTGATAGGCTAATCCTATAAAACTATTCGATAAAATAGTAATCCCATTACATAGAAAATATCTGTAGACAGAACTCAACACAGGACTTTCCATAAAATACACCATATTCAACCATTTCTTCTCCAACAATTTCTATTACAGAGAGGAGTCACTTGGTTAAAGCCGTAAGTAGCTGTCTTGTTTGTAATTGTCTATCTCTGTCACTTGTTGATGACCATTCACTGACTGTTCTATCTGAGATTTGTTAGTGGGGGTGCATAATGATATGATTATGATATATGCCCGCAGTTGGATATCTATCGAGTACTCCTGGCCTAGAAGGTATAATGGTTTATAGGAGGTTATATATAGTCTTACCTCGGATCAAGAATTCTCGAGAGAGCTATAACACAGATAAGTTAGATTGACAGGCAAAGACTCTATTATCTTAATCACACTGCGTAGCTATTAGTGAAAAGGGACCCTAGGCTGCAATCAGCTATACAATAGGAGGGTTGATTTGAGATTCAGTATAAATACTCCAATTATCCAAAACTGCGGGTAATGTTAGAGGATCAGAGATATAAGATAAATAACTTGCGTCAGCGTGGAAGTGGAGTATATCAAGACTTCGCTATAAACAACCAGTGAGTGATATCAAGAGACAGATAAATAGTGAGCTGCAATGAACCGCTTTACCCATCAGATACATTGATTTACACATATAGATACGTTTGAGTTCCATCTTGTTCGATGTCATTGCTTTGATAATATTGATGACGCCGGCAGTATAGGCAAATGAAATAGATCATGTTTCTGAACGATATTGCGAATCTGTCCTAAATACCACCATGAGAATGATGCCCAAGCCCTCAACCCCAGATCTGGGTCTAAATCAGCTCGACGTATCATACTTGTCCAGGTGGATGGTGGCTGGCTGTGCTGGTCTCCATACCCTGGGGTTCTATGTACTTGGCACAGTAATATAATGCAATAAACCATCAATAATTCTTTCCATTATTTGTGAGGAATAACTCGACTTATGCAATGGTAATGCATGTGCCATGTGAGCGGCCATAGAATATACTTGCTGTGATCCACCCCAGTTGACTTATAGTAGAATAGAGTTCAATGTTTAGATTTGTTAGGACGGGGATTTCTTACAGACACAGAGATGGGGTGCTGGGGTTACGCTTAATCATTTTGTTATATGTGACTATTCTGGTTTATTGACTTGTGTAAATCTCAACAGGTGATTGGAGGAGGCAGAGTAAAGGGTGATTAGTTCGCATGACAATGCTCTTGGTTAAGGATTTGGCTGGGATACTGAGAATCATGATAGTAGAGAGTGAGGATGTTGATCAGAGTGTGGAGAGGGATTGTTTGTACAGAGAAAGAGAACATAGCTCTTGTTCTGGCTGCTTACCTGTTGGCAACTATATTTAAGCGAGATAGAACACTCTACGAATATTGCTACGTTCTAGAACTAGTATGGACATTATGGTAAGAAGACAAGATGGAAATGTAGAGCATATATATGCATAGATCAGAAATCAGTGGTATCACAACTCATAAAATGCATAGAATACAACGTCGCACTCTCAATCTTTCTTTCTTCCCTCAAGCACACGCATCACATCGGATACACTGTCCTTATCTCCCTTCTTCTTCTTGGGTCCACGCTTTCTCTTCTTGCCCCCACGCTCCTCCAGTATCACCTCTTCGTCTTCGTCATCCTCCACGCGACTGCTTCCGAATCCAAGATCCATATCCATGGCATCCAGCTGCTCGCGACGGCGGGCTTCTTCAAGGAATTTCTTCCTCCGAAGTAGTGTCTCCGAGTCGGCGTCTTCTTCTCCCTCACCAGCCTCGCCCTCTGCCGAAGGCTCGGCTCGTCGCAAGGCAGCAGCCCGTTTGAGGGCCGCGAGCAGGGTGGGATCTTTGGTCAGAGGGTTCGAACGATCTTCTTCAGTAGTCTCCGTCGTAGAAGTCGAGAAGTAATTGCGCGGTTTAGCTGGAGCTTCACCCGAGGGTTTCGGCGTCTCCTTCGGCGCTGCCTCAGTGGTGCGGGCTGGCTTCTCAGCAACTTCACCATCTTCGTCCTCATCCTCGTCCGACGACTCATCACTCCCGATATCACCAAGAGGGTTATAATCGGCACCCACCCCAGCAAAAATATCATCATCCTCGTCCTCCGACGGAGCAGCCGCCTTAGCCGCAACCTCCACGGGCACCTCCATGCCCAGCGGCTTCGCATCCTTATCCGGAACCAAGAGACCCCCAGAATTCGTCTCACCCGGCTTATCCAACCACCTCACCTTCCTCTTCGTCTTGCCCTCCGCATCCGTAATCTGCAGAATCTCCTTCCGCCGTCCATTCTCATCCTGCTCAACCCACCTCTTCTTCTCCACCTTCGAATTCCCAATCCTTTTGAACTTCGACCCCAACGCCGGCTCAGCCGCCTGCTCCTCAGCAGCTGCAGCCGCAGCCCGACTAGCCCTCAACTGCTTCAAAATCTCATCCCTCGACTTCTTCCCCGGCGGCGGTGCCATACTCCCCTTCTTCTTCTTCTCCTTCTCCCTCGGCGCAGAAGGCAGCTCTCCCCCGGTCGCCTCCTCCAACTTCTCCAACTCCTCATCCACATCTCCCACCGTCTCCTCCACAGCCTCTTCCTTCTCCTCTTTCTTCTCCACATCCTCCCCAGCCCTCACCCTCCTCAACAACTCCCAATCCAACCCCTTCACCATATACGTACTGTTCACATCCCCACCCACCCCCAACTCCACCCGCAACTTCTCAAACGTCTCCCGATCAATCTGTCCCAACTTCACCATCTCCTCCAATGCCTTAATCCTCTTCTCAATATCATCCCCATCCGCTTCCTCTTCCCCCGTTTCCCGTAATCGCGCCGCCCGATCCTGATACCCCGCTGGTAACTTCGTTCCCTTCGGCGCAGCAGACGACCGGAATCGTTTCGTGGGTGGTTGTCCGTCGCGTCGGTATTCGGCTAGTTGGCGCGCAAAGTCGACGCCTGTTACTGAGCGACTGGTCGGATTGTACCATTAGTCCTCTTTTCTTCATTTCTATTTCTTTTAGGGATTGTGTAGGGTGGATGAGGGAAATACATACGGTGTCATAGGAATGCTCGAGCGCATCCGCGACCCGAGCAGGGCAGGTGTTGCGCCTCCACCACGAGACGCATTTTGGGATGGAGATGTACTCGATCCGGCTTGTTTTTGGGTCGAGTTATTGTCTTTGTTGTTGTTGACGAGGAGACGGCGGAATTGTTCGTTGTTCATCGTTTCTTAGGGATTCTTATTCTTTGGTTGTTCAGTCGGTGTTATCGAGGGAGATAAGAGGTTGGAAGTTACTGTACGGAGTAGCTTGGCTAACTGTGGGTAAGGTTGAAAAAGAATAGAATTGTAACAAAAAGAGGAGAATTGGAATTAGGAGATCCTCATTTATTGTCTTGCCATTCTTTGAGAAGATTGAGGTGTGTTGTTGGTTGGGAAAATGGAAGAGGTGCTTGAGGAAAGCTTGTCGGCGGAAAGAAAAAGTAGAGGAGAGAGAAAGAGGCAGGTAACGTCAGGATTCTTGGCATTGGTGAGATGGTTAATGTTTGCTGCTTTGCGGTACTATATGTTTCTACACCGTAATATACCTTTTATTAATTTTTTTTATTGTTGATGTTCTCTATAGGATGCCTTGGTGGCATTGTTTAGGGTTTTCTATTGTTTCAATAGGCCTAGCTTGGTGTGTCCTTACATCTACGACGTGTATATTGATACTCCTCCATAGGGTAATCACACTGGTTAAAGGATAAGCCCAAAATTATATTGAAGCGAGCCATACAATTGATCACCTGAATTATGTATCTAGGAATAAGATAATTAAGAAGCAATAATGTAAAATGCCGGTCGTAATGACTTTTTGATCAAGACAGGGGAATATTAATGCAAAGTCAGTCTCCACTGCACATGAGACATCAAAACAGGTACATGAAATGGTAAGTCCGTTCAGCAAAGTCGATTAAATCCCCCTAGATAGTTTCCCAGCCTCCATTGTTAATATCAGCTTCTAATTTTCGGCTGATCGTCGCGGGAATGCCGTGCGATAACCATACGTCGCGGAGGAGTCGGTCGTATCGTTTCTGATTGAGGATCAATTGGCGATTGCGGCGGAGGCCTGGGTCCACCTCCCCATGGCGGTCCAGGTAAGGGGCGTAATGCCAGGAGCCATGGTGGTTATGGAGATACAACACTGTGCATTTGCGGATGTTGATGAATAGTCCGATATTCTTGCCGCATCTGGGTAGAGACCGTTAGTAAACATTTGAGATAGTAGTTGAACCAAGGATAAACATACTTTTGAACGTGCTGGTTGCAGCCACCCATCTTATTCTCCATGCAGCACACAGCTTGCGAGCAGAAGATGTCTCCACAGAAGAGGCAGATACTGGGGTCGCTTAGCTCCTTTTTCGAATTCGGGCAACGTCGCCGGTTGGCCTCCTCAATCAAACTGTCGTAATACTTAGGAAGCCCAACGAGTTCGAAGATGGCCGGATGTGAGAGACTGGGCCATAACTTGTGATCGCCAATGCGGATGCCAGAACGCGAGGCGTTCCAGTGGAAGATCCAGCCCGATATCACAGCATCGAAAGGACTGCCACTCTTCCTCGCCGTGCTGATAGACGCAAAGATCTCATCGATAGAAGGAAGGTGTAGAGTCTTAGTGAGACGGTCCAACTCGGACACACCCAAGTCGTGGAATCCTGTGTTGGGAAACTCAACCCCATGCTGCACATGAAGGAGGATGACAGTCTTGCGCAGGAACGTCAATGCGTAGCTCGCAGCAAGACGCCTCAACGCAATGACCACGCCGGGCGTTGCAGAATCCTCTCCGTCCTTGACGTAGCCACTCTCGGCGGGGAACGATGATCCTTCTGCCCGTCCAACGGAGTTCGACTTGAGTTCCGTAACAACAGAGATGAAGAATTGCCTGGTGGACTTGTATCGGTCGTCCGACAGCTCCATATCTAACAAATAATGTGCATCACCATTTTGGGCCAGTTCCTCCTTCAGTCCGAGGGGCCAAAGGATGTAGGTCACAGCGACCTTCACAATCTCGGCCACATAGCACATTTGGATGAGATGACGAATGTCAATATTGAGAATCGGCAGCAGGGATAAAGAGCATTCAGCCAGGAACACGAAAATGTCTTTACCCAGTAATGGCTCGATTTCGCGGACATCATCCAGCAGTGCCGTTCCGCTCAAGCAAGGATGACCAACAAATAATTGGCAAATCTTCTGGCGGTGCATCTCCTGGATCTCGTCGGCAGAACGGGTATGAGGTCCGTTGCTGTCATGTAAGCACCCAACCGCGGCGTACGTCAAAGCCGACTCAGCTAGAACGCGGAGGTGGGTCAGGGTTAACTGGGGAATCTTCTCCAATAGAGTTGATCCTGGCTCTGATTCAACCCCACGCTGCTGAATTTCAGCCGCAGCAATGCTAAAACCAAAGGTCTGGAAGAGAGAATCAGTGTGGACGAGGTCATCTGTCTTTATGGTGTCTGGGTGATGACTGAACGTTGAGTAGATGTGATTCAACCGGAGCGTCTGCTTGAGCCGCTTGTAGATCTGCAGAAGCTCGGACATTGGGTTGTCACCTGGGCTGGAAACCTGCTGGAGCGGGCTGGCAGCGGGAATATCATCTTGTGATGGGAAGAGACCAGGCACCGGCATCCTCGCTTGCTGAACGTAATGGGCGGTCGATGGCAGTGGGGATGTCATTAATTGCTCTGTTTTGGAGGCGAGTGGGGGAACTAAGCTCTTGTTGAGGTAGTCAAGGAAAAGGTCCTGATAAGACTGCTGCTGTATTTTGTTATGTTCCATGAGCAGTGCATAGTTCCGTGGGTGGGAGAGAGCAGACTTGACCTCTCCAGCCATGAAATCGTCGAAAGACACAGCTGTGTTTAGCACACCAGGATAAGATTCTTCCTTACCCTTCCAAGTGATCGGTAAGAATGCATTGCCCAGCGCCTTACAAAGAGGGCAAACGAACTCGTTGAAGTTCAGACGCTCAGGGTGGTTTCGTGCTATTTGCTGGCTCTGGCGTCGCTGAGTAGCCGTATAGTAGACTTCAAAGCAGGAATAGTGCATGATGTGCCCACAGCCCGTTGTGACAGGCCCACGCAAGGTATTCTTCGCATTAAAGCCTTTGCTCAATCCAACCTTCTCACTGATAACCTCCCCGCCTGTGGAATCAAGCCGCTTCACTGTAGTGTGGTTTTCGCCTGCGACTCCAAACGGCCGCACACTTTCGGCAGACTTGTCCAAGCTCAAGGGCGTCTTCAACACCTCCCGGATCCAGTCAGGATCTCGTATATCTGTCTGCCTCATGATACCACTATCTTGAACCAAAGCGAAAGTTCCATACAGTCTGGAATCACTTGTCTCCTCCTGGCAGAGAATACAGGTGCCACTCGGATACTTCCAGAGCTTAGTCTCAGGAGCAGCTTCAGGCTCGGACTCCATGTCGCTGAAATCTTCTTCGCCCCAGTCAATCGCGCCTTGGCTGTTCAAGAAGTTCTGCTGTTGCTGCTGGAATTGAGCCATCACTCTCGCCTGTCTTTCAAGAGCTTGCTTCTTCTTCATCTCTTTCTCATTATCGGTGTCGATGGCGGGAGAGTTTGTATCAACTCTGTCAAACGGGAATTTGAGCGTGGCTGTTGCCTTGGCATATGTACCGGGGCGCTTTTGCCATAGCTTCTTAAGAATATGGCGAATCTTAGGGCCACAAGCAGAGAATTCATTCATGATGGAGATCTTCTCTAGGAGGCCAACGATGGTCAGGTAGCCTACCTGGGTGGTTCTGTCTTTCGTGAGCGCGTGAGACACGAATGACTCCGTCGGCTCTTCCGTCATCTCATCTTCCTCAGTGCTGTCTTCCAGGGCAGCAGCAAGAATCAAGTGCAAAACAACTTGCAAGAAAGTCTCAACACGGGTTGGTGGGATATTCGGTGTGCGATCTTTGGAGGAGACAACGTAGTCAAGACACTGGTGAACAATCTGGGCAAATAGCAAAGTCCTTGTGAAGCGTGGAAGGCCAATAAACGCCCCAGACGTGATAGGCCGGAGTTTAGGTTCAAACACCACATCGGATGCCTTCTTGCCGGTTTTCTTCGCCATCCATTCCTTATATATATTCTCCGCTTCGTCTCGCTGGTTTTTGGTATAGTGGGCGCTGTAAGGGTCGATGAGATCAATGTATGGAGATTTAAGTTCGAAAGTGCCGGTATCATTCAACCCTTCAGGAGGGCGGAAGCCTGCTACCTCTTCCAGCACGTCTTGGAACATGTCCGATTCTAGCAGCTTGTCACTGAGGCGAGTTGATAGGTCCGAGAATGATAGAGGCTTGAAGCACAAAACGTGTGCAATATCACGACGGATGTTTTCGCGCATCGCGGCATCGCCATCATCAATGGCCGCAAGCGAGTTGCGATCCGTCAATAAGATGACAAGCAAATGCACGAACTCTTCGGCAACATCAATGATTTGGTTATCCTCGTATCCAGCACGTGGCATGTAGTTCCTTGTCATCCAGTCCACCATACCAAACCTATCGGCAATAGATGCGAGGACACGGCTTGGGTTACATGTTACCAAGGCCGTCTGAAGCAGGAAGATATCGCGGTAGTATGCAAAATCGCGAGACGATACACCACGGTATTGCGACATCTGATGCCTGAGACTGAGCCCGTTGCGGACCCACATGCCCGCCTTCATCTGGGCCAGCCAGGCACAAACTCTGAGAGGGTAATCGAACATTGAGAGAAGCAAATCCTCTGGGGCGAGGCTGCTATCATGAATAAAATTGTCGTTCGCGATCTGCGCTGCCTCTAGCAGGGCATCGCGCATCAAAGAGCTGCTCATGTTACGACCACATTCAAGTAGCCAAGAAAGAGTGTAGTGCAACGCATGATGGAAACTGATGGAACCTCGCTCAACGACGAAGTCTACGACGCGGTGGCGTGAGACTTGACCTGGTTGGTCGTCGCCCTCGAAGTCAAAAAACGGTAAGGATTTGAACCGAACATACTCTTTGATCTCCGCCTGGTCAAAACGCTTGCGCTCAATCCCGGCGGAGTGGGCAACGGCGGAAACAGTAGCCACTTTAAGTGCTCGCAGCAAGTTCTCGCCGCCATCAACTTCGGGATTACGGAATGCTTCGCAGAATTGACGGCACAGCCTATTAATCTCCCGCATAAGAATAGATGCGCTGATCCAAGCGTCCGTCTCATACTCGACGTGCTCCCCTACGGCACGGACGTTGGGGCAGATACCCTGCGAGAGCTTAACCAAATCCAAGAACTGACAGAGATACTGTTCTTCGGTCCGCACGCGGTTCTGTACATACTCAGACTGCAGAAGATACCGTAGATCCAAGAAGAAGTGGTAAAGGCGTCTGTTTGTCACGGAACCAGCATCAAACGCCAGCGTTGCATTGGGATTTACCTCGTACGGTTCACCAACCTGCCTCGTAGTTAAGAAAGTATACAAGATAGAGATGACTTTAGTCAAGAAGTTCCCTCGAAGGACTATCTCCTCAGTGATTGAAGGTGTGGTAAGAAGCTGTAAAGAGAGGTTGACAATGGAATGATCTGGCTCTCTATCGGCAATCAGGTAAAGTTGCGCCAGTGCAGTGTAAAGAGCCGACAAGCGCAAGCCCATGATACGCTTGAACTGAGGGACATTCACGACAGTGCCAATATAAAGATCGCGAAGATCGGTACGTGTCTTCTTCCAAAGTCTGAGGTCGAAAAGAATCATCCAGTCGAGTCGGGTGCGTTGCCATAAATCCTCATATGGAGGAACATTGTCCCCTCTCTTAGGTACGGCCGATCTGACCTGCCAGTAAGTTGGGGCCTTTGCCGGGGAAGGCTTGACTACACCAGAGGGTGTCTTAGGGATGGGAACGTAAGACGCCGAGGCATCATCGTGTGTCTCACTGGAGACCGAATCATTAGGGGCATTCTGCGCCTCGGTTTCGATTGCTTCTGCATGCGGTTGCTCCTCCTCTTCCTCCTCCTGTTGCTGCTGCTGTTCATTGTCAGGGTTCTGTCGCTGACGAGCGAACCCTAAGAGAGCTTGGATGGTGTCCAGGGCGTCATCCGCATTTCCCATCACTAAATCCTCGTCTTCGTCTTCAACTTCCTGGCGCAGCCTGTTCAAATCCATCTCTATGTCTTCGTCTTCATCGTCGGCATCATCGTCATGACCTTCAACAAAATCTTCATCGTCCTCGCCCTCTTCGTTTGCGCCCTGGTCATCGCCATTTTCGATATCCTCATCCTCGTCATCATCATCCGCGGCCAAGACTACTTGACCTTGAGGCGATACTGTGAGCATTACCGTACGATACGGTGCATTATCCGACTTCTGCTGGTCATCGATACCTTTCATACCAATATCTGCATTGAAGGCTCCGCTGCCGCGACGCCATGGACTCAACAGTTCCTCACAGACGGTATGGCGTAAAATCTCGTTGTCCTCCAGAACGCTACATCCGGAAATGTCTGCAAGCCACTCGACGATGGTCCCGCACATTTGCTCACGGAACGTATCCCGGGCGGACCGGATCGTAACGGTGACCTTGATCTGTTCGATGATCTTCGACACGGCCAATAACCTTTGCAAATCTTTCGAGTACTTGACCACACTCCGTCCGTAATCATTGGTCTCCTGGGCCCTATCGTTTCCAAAGGAATCCCGCTCTCGACAAGCCCGGCTCACTTGATGAGCAACATCGCGAATAGTATGCTTCTCATCGTTCCACAACGCGAGCGCAAACTCCGGCTCTTCCTCAGCCTGGTCACCTTCACCATACCACCCCGGGCGTAGCCGTGATGCCTCTTCATCCTGCCTGATACCCTCTTCCGTCTTCGGCAATCTCAGCTGTTCCGGCGAGCAAGAGAGCACATCACAGAAGTAGTCGAGCGCTCGAGCGACAGTCAGCCGGATGTTATCCACCCACTCCCGCGGGAGCTGAGCCTGCTCCCGCTCTTTGCCCTTTTTATCACCACTATCCGTATGGATCGCACAGAACAGCGGCAGTCGCCAGGCCTCCTCGTCACCACAGTCGCAGCAACCGCAATTCCCCGACGAGAGAGAAATCTGGTACTGATGGCCAGTGTGGTCGGATGAGTCGAAACAGCGGCTGCAAAGCACGCAGGTATCATCCGCCGCGCAGGTGATGCATCGATACGTCGCTTCCCCGGCTCTGAAGATATGACCACAACGCTTGCCTCGCGCAGCTTCCGTATATTCTGCACCTTCCTTGGCGCCCTGAGCTTCTGCTAGCTTCCACGGCCCGGTTGGCAGTCCATCTGGGAATAGCTGTCGAAGGCGTTCTTCGTTGTGACCGCTAAGCGAACGGAAGAGGAGCTCGAGCAGATCTTTCTCTGCTTGGGGACCGTAACGGTAGTTATGATTGGAAGGAAGCCGTTGAAGGCCTTCACCAAGGATCCTCTCACATTCTGTAAGCATCATTTATCGTCTCTAGTCCGAGAAGACGAGACGCATTCAATTTGAACGGGTATAGAGTGAGGAGGGTGTCGGCGAGCTAAGAAGCTCCGTGTGGCGGGACGGAACTGTAGTCCGGTTTGTTCCACCGCGATAAGGAATGAACAAAATCTCGAGAGAGCGTTGAAAAGCTCCTCAAACGCAAAGTTTGGTGGTATGTGCAAAGCGGGGTTTGATTAGATTAGGGTGAGGCTAGTCAGAAAGAAAAGACGAGAAGAAAAACCTATCAGTGAACGCTTAGTGATCCGACATTCTAAAGCGATCGATGTCACTGTGGGGGGGGGGGGGAAAGATTTGGTGGGATTAAATGCGAAATCAACCCAACGGGCAACCCACCCCATTAAGTCTTTTCAGGTCATTAGTAGCATTCGTACGTAACCCTTCGCCTTATTCATAGATAGCGAAGGGAAATAACCGGCAAACGGAACCTTATCGAGTTAACAAAGCAAGAGCATTTGTCGCAAAAGAGCGATTGGAAATGTCCGTCAGTGGTTGTGGTGGTTGGGTTTATATTCTAAGTATGACATCGAACAACGGCTCTCTTGGCGCCACTACCATCTTGCAGCTCATGTTCTCCCGACCACCGGAAGCATAATTTTATAGACCACAGATGTATGTAGGAGCACAGTGATTGGTTAGAGAAAATCGAGCAAGTGAATTCCGAGGTGAATACAGTGTTAAAGATTCTATTTCATACAAGACACACGCAGCATATACCAATGTCTCTCCAGTGCTCGGCTGTGTTATAACATGGGACCGACAAATTTCCCCAAGATGGATCCATCAATTACTGCTTTTTCTTTACTCATCATCTTCCTCATCCTTGACCATGTACTGGTGCTTGATGTCCTTCCATTGGCGCTGTAGAATCCGTCAGTGTTATAGTCCTTGATAATCCCAATTCGTCAGGGTCGAAAGTTATAAACATACGCCGCGGTTCATGGCATCCCAGATGCGGTTGGAGGTCGAGTCATAGGCACTGTTTGTAGAAATCTGGTCAGCAGTCTGTTCTCACAGACCAGCATTAGGTCGACACGCACATCTCGAAAGCGAAGGCACTGGAGAAGATGGCCGTGAGGTAAACGGCGTTCCTGCGGATCAGGCCCCTAAATACCGTTGAAAGATCACAGGTTAGCGAGACCGAAGATATCGTCAACGAGACCGTCGTTGGGTGATCCGGGGAGGGGAGACATGCTGGTAGATAGCGGAAGCAATCTGGAGCGGTAACCACTGTGGTTAGCCATTGAACATCATTAGGCAATTCCAAGCGATAATCACTTACAGCGCCGGCCATTGTGATGGGTTTGAACTAGGGAATGAGGGCGGAAAAAGAAAGAGAGGCAGCAAGGAGACGGGGACTATGTCACAATGGAGGAATGCGAGGTTGAAGTTTCGAGCCGACAAGTTGGCCGGCGCGAAAAGCACCAGCGGGAATCACCGGGACGCTGATTGGACGGCCGGAACCAAGTCTGTGCAGAGCCTCCGAATGGCCGCCTCAGGAAACCACCTCAAAGTCACGCACTCGGCCCTACAAAATTATTGTGGCCCAATTCCTCTCGTCTCATACCTCGTCACGGTTGGGTTTTCCCCGAGATCTCCAATAATTACAGCATACTCCTTATACTACTTCATTTCAAGTCGGCCGGAGGAAACACAAGTAAATCTACTGAAATTCCGCATTATCCCCCCACAGCCATGGCTTCTACGAACTCGGGAATCACAACGGATGCAGTGACCGGAGAGCGCTATATCCCCTCATCGGTTCGTGCCGATGGCACAAAACGCCGCGAAATCCGTGTTCGACCCGGGTATCGCCCCCCTGAGGATGTGGAGCTGTATAAGAACCGTGCTGCACAAGCCTGGAAGAACCGTGGTAACTCCGGAGTGCCTGGTGCAGAAAGCTTGAAAACCGAGAATGAAAGCCCCGCTAAAACAGGTACGGCTGCTAGTAACAAGAATGCCAAGCGGAGGGAAGCGAAGAAGAAAGCAAAGGCAGCTCAGGAAGGAGCAGCTACTACCGAGGGCAAAAATGTAAACGAAATCGACAACTGGCGTACCCCGGCTTCGGGCGCCGATAAGAAGCAGTCTAATGGACCAGATAAGGCAGCTGGAGGAGCTGAAGAAGGGGTCGATCCAGAAGCCGAGAATGAAAAGAAGGCGCGCAATTTGAAGAAGAAACTCCGGCAAGCACGCGACCTACGGGACAAGAAGAACCAAGGAGAAGCCCTGCTTCCCGAGCAACTGGAGAAGGTAATCAAGATCCAGGAACTGATCCGCCAACTTGACGCACTCGGATTTGATTCGAACGGTGACAAGAAAGATGGCTCTGCGGAGAAGGAAGAGAAAGTCTGAACCCGATACGACATATAATCGATCACGTATGTTATATCAATATAGTGGTTTTTTCCGGCGGCCGTCCTATAATGGACAGCCTACCCATTGGGTATCGATATTGATAGCCGGAAGGACTTTCCTGTCAAAGCTTTTTCGAGCAGACCTGCGCCTCTGTGGTACCACACAACGACCCTTATCAAGTGAGACGAGGCTTGGCCACACCGAGGGTGGAATTTTAATCTGAACTGCATATATGCAGCTACCGGCGTACTACCGCCTGTCAGCTACTCGAGCAGTTCTGGTATGGAAAACCCCAGTGAACTCCTTGTCACTCATACAGGGGTACTGTCCTATGAATTAGAGTAATAAAAGTCTCTGGCTATCTATCTCATATTCTATGTGGCACGTGTCTGTTCTTCTGCACTTCGACTTGGATGTATCTATCAGTCACTACGGACCCATTCTGGGCAACTCGTTACGCAAGTATATTACAGAAGAGAAGTCTGTAATACTTCAGAAAAAAATTTTTCCCCTTGTGTTGGCGAGATTAGCTGGAGTATATATTATACAGGGTCATAGAGTTCAATAGAAGAAGCTCTAGCTCAAAAATGTTTGCGTTCGGTTCTGTACACCTCAGCCCATCGTACAGGAGAAGTGACGATGCCGCCCTCCAACTCCCATTTTTCATAGTCGAACCTCCTCCAGGGGCGATCGCCATCACCGGGGCCCAGCTTTCGAGCACCGACGCCGTACGACGCCGCTAAATACCCTTGTCGGATACAGTCCGTCACACCAACGCCATTATACCAACTTCCTGCAAGAGTAAGTCTGTTGTTGAGCTCGTGCCGCGTGGACCGGGACAGTTCGCGCATGCGAGACAGGTGTCCAACAGTGTATTGAGGAATGGCATTCCGCTGCAGCCGACTGCTCGTCAAAGTGGGTGCATCCGTAATGCCCAGATGCCGTTGAAGCAACGCACGAGACATTGCAACAGCTGTGTCATGGTCGGGATAATCGGACTCTTTCCACCCATCCCACCAATGACCACCCATCATCACCGTAAGCTTAGTGCCAGGTGCAGTATCTTGACCGACGCTAGAATCAGATCCAAATATAACTCCTAAAGCCCTTTCGGGATTTTGCTCATAAGGGATCGACCGCGGTATGAGATACCCAAAGCCACTGACCGGGAGGAGGTCTGGGTTAGGGAAATACAAGTTGACAACCATGACTGTTACAGCATAATTGTGCTCTTGGAGATTTCGAATAGTACTTTGAGGTACTTTCTGGTCTTTCATTGTCGTAGTCGCGAGCTTGTTTGCAAGTTCGGGAGCTGGGATTGTAGCAATTACGCGATTGTGGATTCGGGACCTGTCCTGTCCAGATCCAACCTACAGAATATACGTGTTAGTAGACCGTCCAATAGCAACGAATAGTGGCCTCTTCCGGTAGCTTACAATCAGATCGTGTGTCGTCGGATTCTGAGTAATGGACTTAACGTCCGTATTCGCCAAAACGTCAACCTTGTTAGATTTCTTCAGAGCGTCGACCAGGCCGTCTGAGAGCTGGCTCAGACCGTCTTTCAACGTCAAAACGCTAGTCTTGTTGACAAGCGTCCGTAAGCTTTTCCAGTACATCCCAGGTTTCTCATGTGCGACAGATTCCAAGGCCAACAGATCATCCATGGCCATAAGCTTGATATCTGACATCAGAGAATTAATGTAGCCTCCGATAACTCGGCGGTCATCATTCTCAAGGTCCCGGAAGGTACCTAGTAGTGTCTGCGCGCTTAACTGACTGATGTCGCCCGCATAGATACCATGGAATAAAGCTGAAACGAGGTTGTCTGCTACCTCTGGGCACAATCGGCGCGACACGAAGTCTGCAACGGACTCGTCTGAATTGAACGACTTGTGGTCCGGAGGGGCGCGGACTGGCTCCAAGATAGCGCTCGCAAGGAGACCTTCGAAGACCGGCTCACGTAGCATAGCATATAGCGGAGTGGTAATATTTTCGATCGGACCGGCGTTGGGGTCAGGCGCGGGCATACGAACGAGGTGATCGGGATAGTAGATATAACGATTGCGCGCGGCAGGCGACGAGCTGCTTGTTAAGAGAACGTCATCGTGTAGGCCTAGCTCAACGAGCTGTTATAGAACGCAAAACTTGTTAGCGCTTGATGTTCGTAGTACCGGCAATATATGAGGGGCTACTCTACCAGATCGAGAAGGGGTAGACACGAGGGGACTGCGGTCCGCAAGGTCCGCGGGCCATACTCAAATACAACGTTTCCACCTTCGACCGGAATCTTTTCTGACAGTAGCCAGCCCCCTACACGAGGAGCCTTCTCGTATAGTGTGATCTTGGAGCAATTGGGGTCCTGCGATAGCCGATAAGCTGCTGTGAGACCGGTGATGCCACCGCCAATGACGGCGGCATCGTACGTTGAGGAGTATCTCTGGCCGATGCGGGCGAACGCCAATGGCGTGCGCACCCCCCTGAGTGCACGGCTAGGGACACATGGTAGTCTCATCTCAGCAATTGGAGAGGATGAAACTGCGAGTGAGGACAAAGGAAGAGCATGGTTGGAAAAACAAAGGTGGGAAAGTTGCTGCTGCTTTACTCCATCAGGTGAGCTGCTCCAACAGGCTGCCGACGGCCGGCGGTGTAATTGCCTGGAAATTACATAAATTTCCCAGCCCTATTCTTCCAAGTCCTACCGGTATTAATGGTATGATGGATAACAACAATTTGAAAAAAAAAAAAAAAAAAAAAAAGGAAGTCAGCGCCATGCAATGGCGTTGGAAATTTCATGATATGATTGATATCCAGATCTATTTACAAAGCCAGTTTGATATTCTTTCTGCCGGTCCTATAGATAAATTCAAGCAAACGCCCTTGCCACCAGTCACCCATCGTCCGCACGGAAAATAATACATAATATGATATTAAACCACATGGGGAATTTTAACTGTGAGATCATCAAAAGAAATCATAGAGATCGCTCTTCTAGTTATGTCGCAATCTCTTGGTTGTTTTGGGAGGGCTCTTCAGCGCCACCAGGTTTGATCAGTTCCTCTGCACCGTCCTCATCGGAAACGAATTTCCTCTCGCTCACATGCGGCTTCTCTTGCCCATCAGCAGTCCACACCTTGTCCGCGAACGCTCCTTTCTGACCCTCGGCGTGCTTGTATGGGCACGAGGGGTTGAGACAAGGATTGAACTTGCAAGGCGTCTGAACATGTGTGAACTTGCACCCTTCGGTCGAGCAATCTGCGCCATTCCGACATAAAGGCATCGAAGGATGTTTGAAGTGGCAGTGGGGGTTCGCACAATGAGGGAAGAACTTGCACAGCTCTTCAGCTTGGTGGGCTGACTTAACGGCAGGTGACGGATGGCGACCGGTACACTTCCTGTTCTTGCAAGCGGCTCCATAAGAACATACGTCGGCCACATCGACGGGAGTGCCCTCGGGGGCAGCTGGCGACTGGTGCGCAAACGGGCAATCTCTCCGGGTACACCGGAGATTGAAGCGACATATCGAGTCCGTATTGCTTTCATCCTGCTCACCACCCTGGTCGGGCTTTGTGTCCATATCGGTATCGGCATTCTTGTCGTCTCGCTTGTTAAAATGCCGGCGTCCCTGCTGGCGTTCCACGCGGTCAAACAATGAACGGCCCTGTTGCGGTCCGTTCTGTTGGAAAGCTGGGTTGATCGCCGGCGATACAAAGCCGGGCATAAACTGGGACATCATCCTTGCTTGCTCTTCGAGTAGAGACATGAGATGCATCTGATCTTGCGGGGTCATGTTCATCATGTTTCCTGGGCCACCCGGCATTTGATTGGGTCCCATACCCATGCCACCCATCTGACGTCCGCCCGACATCCTTCCTCCGCCGTGCTGGTGGAAGCGACCCTTTGTATGGTCACGGCCATGGGAGTTGATACGTCCACTACCGGGCTGGCCGCGGACGCGGTGTAACGCAGAATCGGCGCGGTCTAGTTGGCGATTTATCTGGTTGAGCATCCTACCTCTTCCGCCTGGTCTGTTGTTGCGCATTGCTTTCGGGCCTGTAGGTCTATTGTTTTCTGTGTCAGCCCAAGTCACCACCGCAGAGTCCGAAGGAGAAACCCACATAGTATCGTTCGCAGCTCCGTTATCGCCCATGCCCATATCAGCGTCCATAGCGCCATCCCCAGTCATCATCGCTTGGTTGTTGGAGGCCTCTTGGTCGTTAAAGGACGGAATAGCCTGCGCAGGGTCGCTTTCAATTGATTGTTGGATACCCCCGCCATTGATCTGCTGGTTGAGGAAATCAACCTGTTCGAAGAGCCATCGCGAAAAGTCCAGAGCCTGTGTATCGCCTTCGCCGAGTCCGAGGAGGTCGTTTGATAGTTCGCCAGCAATCTGTTCTTGCGTCTTGCCGTTGACAAGCATGAGAATCACGTATTCGGTTAACGCTGAATCATCACCGCCGTCGGAGCTCCATCCCATCTCTACCAGCTTCGGCTGGATGACATTACTCAAGGCCTCCGCAAGGGGAGTACCAACAGCAACTACCGTAGTCATGGCGTAAAATCCGGGCAGTCGTAGTCCGGTCCGAGGGAAAAGATAACGAAGGGGAGGTGAGTGAAGAAGGCTGCCCAATCACTAGCACTCGCGCCACCGGTTGAAAAACTGTTTAGAAAGACCTCCCTTGTCTTGCCTGGCAAACAATAAGACAGAGACTAAGCAGTGAGGCGTTGCTCCAAAAGTGGACGATAACGAGGGTATAACAATGAGTTAGTTGTTTTTTTTTTCATTTCATGACAAGGAACTTTTGATGATGATGAAAGATGCCAAGATTCACCAGCCACGTTGTCACGTGTGACAAGCTGCGGGTGGCGGTCTTTTGTGCAAACAGCACAAACATCTTTGACGGCACTCTATCTGAGTAGGGGAAGGTTTGTTTACTTCGATATCCTTGAACTAATATTTCTACAAAATACAGTTCATTTCCTTCGAAATGCTTTTTTGATGATTTATTTATTACCTCGATTTTTGCATTCTGTTTGCATGTGTGAAGGTCAATTTTTGCGGTATTACAAGCTAAAACCTCTCGCGCAGCCAAAGACTCTGCCGCTCAACACATCAACAACCCCTCCAAATATGGTCAGCAATTCACCTCACTGTTTGCTGTAACAACCCCATATAAGTCGTAATACATCAAACACATATGTGAACTGCTTGCTGCCAAAGAAACCAAGTTAAATATATACTACAATCCTCTTGGATCCATATTCTCCTTCGCTCTACTGAAGAAGTTTTACCCCGGCTGTACGATATATATTTACAAAGGCATATATGTATACAAATCAGGACATGTGGGGATCATCACGCCATCCAACGGCCATATGTCATCGTCGTACCACTAACTCATTTCACGTTTGTAAAAGTCCAGATAAAACCATACTACTGATAGTTATACTAGCGGTATTTATGCACAGTTCTACTGTCATACAATGTATATATACCCATAACCAGAGAGTCATTAACAAAAACACCAACCAACCTACCGATGACCCAGAGTAACCCTAAAACATATCATCATTGAAAAATCATGCCCCAAAACACCCAAGATCTAGACCCAGACACTATTCGAACTTTAGTATTATCCAAAACATGGTTCGGCTTCGACCTCGACGACACACTACACGAATTCCGCAGGGCATCTGCCCATGCATCCTCAGTGGTATTTACAGCTATCCATGAAGAAAACCCAAGTGTCAATATCGACGACCTGAAAACATCCTACCGGGACATACTCGTCTCAACGACAGCGGGTGCATTCGCAGACGGAAGGACATCAACCGAGTATCGCAGAGAACGGTTCTCGCTTCTTCTCCGGGCCCATGGATTAGAGGTGTCGATGGAGAGATTGGACCGTCTTTTGGAAGTCTATAAAGTGAATCTACGGGCAGCACTGACGCTGAAACCAGGGGTTCTTCAACTACTCCAACGGATTAAAAGTCTCGGGAAGAAGGTTATTGTGGTGACGGAGGGACCGCAGGATGCGCAGCGGTGGACTGTGGAGGAACTTGGGCTGAGGCCTTATATTGATGTGCTTGTCACGACTAATGAGATTGGGCAGTCGAAGGTTGATGGGCTGTTCCCTGCAGTGTTGGAAAGGTATGGTATTTTTGCGTCGGATATGGTGTATGTGGGGGATAATGAGAAAAGGGATGTTGTACCGGCGCGGGCTGCTGGTATTTTGGCTGTGCTGTATGATGAGAAGCGTGGTTGTTGGTTTGAGGATCGTGCTGCGCTGAGGGTTGACTCTTTAGCAAAGCTCGAGGATCTGTTGGGTTAGTTGGCTTTCCAAAAGATAGGGCTAGGGAGAATATGTGTTGATAGCCTGTTAATGTACTAGAGTAGAAATCCAGCCATCTGGACTGGGTGTTACTATTGCGTCTATGGGTGCGGAAAATATAGAGGCGTGATAACCCGTCACTAAGACCGTGATTGAGTAGCATATCGACAGATCGTGCATACCGATCGATGTCATTACAGAATTGCTAAATCCTCAAGAATTGTGGATCGCGGAAGAAATAGTGAGTGTGATTGATCTCTTGCCATCCTGGAATGCATTAATGGAATGAGGAAGGTATGCGCTATGTGGGTACCCAGACTGATCGTTCATATACTATGGGGAGTGACAAGGACTCAAAGAACTCAACGTCGACAAGATTAGACTTTTAATCAATATCACTTGCTTGCTCCCAAGTAGAGCATACGATGCCCCTGTACGACTGCAGAGAGAGAGAAAGAGAGAGAGAGAAAGAAAAGAACAAATTCAAAACTGCACTCCGACAAAATGTTATGTACCATATGCTACAGAACATCTGAGCAGCATGTAGGAGAGGGGAGAGTATTCTGTAACCAGCCCCTTGCATGATCATAATATCATATAGGATCTTCTCTGGAAACGGAATCCTACCCAGGATCTCGCATACCACTTCCGTTGCGGTCCGCGCCGAAGGCCGTGGCAGCCGCTCTGGCCGTAAAGCTGCTAGCTTTCATGGTGTCAAATGCGCCTTCATCCTCAGATTGGGGGTACATGGCTAGCGTTTGAGATAGCGCACATTTGAGCGCTTCCATATCATCGCGACAGAGAGCAACTGAGCCACTGAGAATCCTCCTGCAAGTTTTACCTGTGCGCTATAGGCAACCGAGTAAGCCTTGCGGATCTGAAGTTGGATTGCAGGGGAAAATATTCCAATGGCATCACTGGAAGAGAGTAGTAGGTCGACTTGGTCAGGGTCCAGGGTCGCCGACAATCGACTCTTGAGATAATTATGCAGAATGGTAGTAGATGCTGCAACGCCCAGGACACCACCCAGCATTCGAAGCTGGAGCCCGGTGCTCAAGGCAATAGATTGATCTTTACCGTCGACTACAAGCGGCACCATCATGTAGAATACCGCTACACTGGTACCTGTCCCTAGCCCAGCCAGGACAAGATAACCGTACTGTGCAGCTGAGATCGCCGTTGAGAAGGCGGTCTCGGAAAACAAGAAGAGACCAACAACCTGGAGGACTATTCCACCGAGTGCAATGTAGCAAAACGGTATCTTAAGACGCCCAGTTAGTACAGAGCAGGACATTATACCAACTGGGCTGCTTAACGCGTAGGATAAAAACCTGACTCCGGCACCGATCGGGGAACAACCATTGACGATCTGAAACCGTTGAGGGATCATAATGATACTAACAGTCATTGGGAGGCCAGTTGTAAAGAATCCCCTGTGATTCTGATAAGTACACATTCGTGGACGAGCCATCATCATGAACAAAGGGTTACTTACAGGGCAGCGCCCAGGAAGATCCGGTTACTCGCCAGTCTCCAGGGAAACATTGCATATATATCGAGGTCCTTCTTACTGATAAGCCACTCCCACAAGAGGAATGCAATCCAGAAGAGCCCTGAGATAACGAGGAAACTGATGACAAGACCCGACGACCATGCGTACTCAAAATTACCTTCTTGCAAGGCCGCGATAGCAAATGAGGACGCAGTTAACAAGGCTAGAGCGCCAAGGGTGTCTGCCCGCTGGAAGAACGTCTTTATCTTCAGCCCAGCTCCCTTGTAGGTGGGTGAAGATTTTTGAGCCGACGGAGCATTGGGGAAGTTAGCTGGAAGTACGACAAGTAATAGTACCCAGGAAAAGGCCCCGGCTGGAACACTGTAGCTGTCATCAGAATAGGTGAATGATGATAGAGATGAGGCGACGTACTTGCACAAGAAAACCCAGCGCCAACTGCCCTTTTCGGCCACAGCGCCTCCAATCAAGGGGCCAAGGACAAGCCCAAGGGACAGTATGCCACCGGCGACAGAGCTTATGGTATCGTACTGCCGGTAGGGGACTATGCGGACAAAAGAAAATAGGGTGAGAGAGTAGACACCAGCGCCGCCGACCCCTTGAAATGCCCGGCAGATGATTCTTGCATATATGAGATCAGTTTGTCTCCATCTCGCATCATAGTGGAAAGGAAAAAATGACAAACGCACAGTTGACTGAGACTTTGGGCACCACCGCAGCCGCCGGAGAATGCTGTGAAAATGAATAGGGAAGCGAGGAGACTTGTTTTCACCCGCCAAATATCACCAATCTTCGACCAGATCATAAGAAATCCTATAGTGAAGAAGCTTAGTCAAGAGATATTGTATGGTCGTTGGACCACATCAGGTACCTGTGTAGGTGAGCAAGTAGGATGTGATAACCCAGCTGCTTCGACCAAAATCGTCCAAATCATTGGTGATGGTAACCAAGGATGTGCTCACAATAGTGGCTTCAATGCCTGTAAGGAAGAGAGCCAGGCCGAGCCTGAGATGAATAGATACATAATTACATTAGTAAATATACAGCTATTTCGCATAGGTTTCTCCATACCCAAAAGCCCCAAGATATAAGGGGAACCCATGTAAAGCACCATCCCATTCGATAGGGTCTTCGCTGGTGGTCTCATTGACACCCTCAGGAGTCTGTTTTTCGGACATGATTATTTTTTTTTTTTCCAGAATCCAGGGAAATACGGAGTGGTAGCTACGATGGGTAGGTGATGTGGGTAAGACACTGTAGGATGTTGGTTATTACTCAGGCTCAGTTACCTGAGAATGGGCGTCAGCTACAAATAGGGTACCTAAACATGAGACTGAAAGGCTGGTGTGCAGGACCTAAGGAGCATGCAGAATGCAATAAAAGGAAAATCATGCGGGCAGGTCGCCTTACAGGAGAGTGACACAGTACTTTGGCTTTGTAACTACGCATTCATACCGATGTGTTGGTTTATACCTTGCTAGAAGAGGTGTTACGGTATACAGTGACAATTTCCTGCAAGGGGGTCTTCAACGGCTCAGTTTTCATTTTCTCTCGACTTGGTAAATGGCGCGATTGATCACCTTCGCTATGGATACTGTGTCCTCCACTGAGCTAGGGATTTCATGGCCTTTTGCATGCACGAAGATGGATCTTCTTTCCGAATCACAAAAATTTACAGCTCGCTGTGCTTCCTCGGCCTGTGGGTCCGCCGATCCCCAGATATGGGCAGTTGGCATGTCAATCACTGTACCCATTTCGGCGGAATCCAAATATGCAATGCGATCCGTAGCAAGTGCATTGTGATCGTATGGCTGCCTGGCATTCGAGAAAAAGACAGCCACTTTAAATGGCGCGACAGAAGACCCATTCTCCTGCTTGGTCTGATACCGATTCACCAACCACGAAAGGGCCATGGTTGCTCCCAAGCTGAACCCAATAATTCCGTCGAAAGGGCCCTCCTCTTTGATGTACCCCTCAATGTCGCGAGCAGCCTGTCGGCATGATTGCGGCTGGTCAGGGTCACAAAAGGTGAATGTTGGTTCATCTGTCTTGGTGACACTTTTAATGGCTACTCTATGGTTAGAAAGCCTTCGACTATGTGGCGTAAACGGTTGGCCTTACACGACTCCCAGGGCAATGCTCCTTCGACAAATTCATAGGTATGTTGGTTGCCAAGCTCGTATCGAATAGCCGCTAGGCATTAAATGCAGTCAGCTTATCCGGTGCAGTGAAAATTTTGGAATGCAGCTAACGGTATTAGCTTGTATTACCTGTTTGCTCTTCGAACGTCTGAGATAAGCCATGGTATCAGTAACTAAGTCTTCTCAAGGCCCGGAAGAGTTCAAAGTGACTTTGCTTGCCTGCGAATTGCTTCCAATGCCATGTAGACTAGAGAGGGTTAGCCAAATCAGCCGCGGGTTGATGGGTCCATGAAATGTACCAAAGAAACCTCATTTTGCCTGGAGACCGATAGAATAAGCGGAGTCTAGAACCCAAAGAGCATGAAAGGTGGAAATTGTAGCCGTTAATACTGTGCGCCTCTGCCAAAGGGGAACATAAGGGATTATCTCGGGGCTCGAGGCAGTCTAAATAAAACGGATCAATCTAGGTAACCATAGCAAAGCACATCTGTACAAGTGAACTCATTTCTGTAACGTAAATTGAAATGCCGTGGTATCTTGTGCATATTTTAGGTTTTTTTTTTCTACAAGAAAACATGCAGCCCTAGCGCGGGGTGGGACTTCTTCAAGGGGAGAATGAGCCAAGATGGAAACTCCGTAGCGCTTATCTCTTGCGTTGTTTTCTTGCAGCCGATGGGAAGCCCTACATTAGAGGTGCTAGATTGGCCAATAATCAAACGTCAAGCAAGGTGTTGTGAAGAGGAAGGATTGATTGATACGAGATTCTCCCAAGACACAGCCGCAGTGGACGCCTTAGAAATTCCACCTGTAGCTGTATTGGCGCTTATCCCCTAAAGGCAATAATCGTCAAAGGTAGCTATTTATGATCCGACCAAACCTGACATGAAAAAGTGGGTTCCTCGATGGAGCCATATTCCGTTGGTCACCAGAGTGACGAGTGGGATGCGCCTTGCATGACATCTTCTGACGAAAATCAATAATCTCCAATATCGGGAATTGGGTATATTCAGGCTTTCCACAATGCAGAAGCGGTAGCAGCCCAATGATAGCTCTTTGATGCTCTCACTGGATGTGATTTGTCGAACAGTCATAACAAGTGACGTGGCGAGGCATTCTTAGATGCTTTCATCTAGTGGTGAGAAAAAAAAAAAAAAAAGGCCGAGATTCAACGCAACTATGTTTGGAGTCTATCTGAATGAAGCTACGTTACCTTAGAAAGTACAGGTCTATAGCCTTAGTATAATCTCCAGAAAATCTACATTGGCATAGGGATTCACCTGAGATCCGTTTGTATCCAGGGTCACTGCTGGCTTATCGACTTGTCTTCTATGCCAACCATGTCCACATGCTCAGAGAAGGGCCTGCCGCCCCTGGCAATTGTGGGCATATCACTCAAGTTCCCAGGAGACGCTGTGACACCAGATGACTTTTGGAAGATGCTTTTGGAGGGGAGAACCGCTGCGAGCGAGTTCCCTCACGATCGGGTAAATATCGATGCTCTTTATCATCCAGACCGTGAGCGTCTGGACCATCTATCTTTAAAGGGAGGAAATTTCATGAAGGGAGACTTGGGCGCTTTCGATGCTGGATTCTTCACAATAAACGCTACTGAGGCAGAGGCGATGGATCCGCAACAGCGCCTGATACTGGAGGCATCTTACCGCGCACTTGAGAGCGCTGGAATTACTATGGCAGAAGCGTCAGGCTCCAAGACCTCTGTCTTTACAGGAAGTTTTTCCCATGATTACCACACGCTACAAGTAAAAGATCCTATGACATTACCAAAATGGCATGCTACTGGTACATCTATGAATATGTTGTCAAACCGTGTCAGTTGGTTCTTCAACCTGCAAGGCCCAAGTGCTACTGTTGATACTGCCTGTTCCAGTAGTTTGATGGCGATTGATTTGGCCTGTCAATCTATCTGGAGTGGTAACTCATCGATGGTAGGAACAGTTGAATGATCCTGGCGTGATAAAATGCCCGCTAACTTGTGGAAAGGGACTAGCCATTGGCAGTAATACTATCCTGGCATTGGAAATGAGCCTCTGCCTTGATAATTTGGGTTTACTCTCGAAGGATGGTCGCTCATATAGCTTTGATCAGCGTGGGAACGGCTATGCACGGGGTGAAGGTGTTGGCGTCCTAGTAATCCGGCCGCTGGATGAGGCCATCCGTCATGGAGACACTATAAGAGCTGTAATCCGATCCTCCTGTTCGAACCAGGATGGACGTACGCCCGGGATTATGCAGCCTAGTGGGACTATGCAAGAGAAACTCATCCGCGATACCTATAAGAGAGGAGGTCTTGACCTGGCAACAACGCGATATTTTGAAGCTCACGGGACCGGTAAGTGGCATTAGTTTAATCAACCACTGTGGGTACACAGAAGAAGGCTGACTTCACATTGTGTCCAGGAACGGCGGTAGGAGATCCTATTGAAGCCCGCGCAATTGGAGGCATCTTTCGTGACTACCGCTCAGCTGATGACCCGCTTTATATGTAAGTACTGCACTTAGATATTAATTTCGAACCTCGATGCTAAGCCACATCACAGAGGATCCGTGAAGTCCTCTGTTGGTCATCTAGAGGGCGCAAGTGGCGTGGCTGGAGTGATAAAGGTTGTTCTTGCCTTGGAAAAAGGAATTATTCCACCAAATGCAGGGCTTGAAAAGCTGAACCACCGAATCGATGATGAATTCCTACATATAAAGGTCTGTTTCCGACGCCTTTCAGGTCAGGCCTCCCGAGGCTAACAACTGCAGGTTCCTCAAGCACCAGTGCCCTGGCCAGTCGATGGCTTGCGAAGGGCGTCAGTCAGCTCATTTGGCTTTGGTGGCTCGAATATCCATATTGTGCTAGACGATGCCTTGAACTACCTCCAGAGCAATGGCTTACAGGGCAATCATAATACCACCGCTCATTTGAACACCATGTGCGTAGAGAGTCATGACACAAATGGGACTCTGGAAACCACACCTGATGAAGCAAAATTACTTGTCTGGTCAGCTGCCGATGAGAATGGAATTTCCCGCATCCAGGACAAATGGAGATCTTTCTTCTCATTGCTTCAAGTTACAGACAAGGAAAAAAAAGCGTACTTGAGTAACTTGGCATACACGCTAGCTAATAGGAGAAGTTATCATCAATGGCGGACCTTTGCGACTGTGAAATGTTCGGATGACTGGTCAGCTATAGCGGACAAGGTTGCTCGCCCGTGTCGGTCTATTTCATCGCCCAATCTGGCGTTTATATTCACTGGGGTGAGCTAGTTTATAACATTCTCATGCACAACAACTAATATCCGTGGGCAGCAAGGAGCACAATGGTATGCGATGGGCCGCGAGCTGATAAGCGGATACTCCGATTTCCGCGATAGTATCCAAGCTGCCAATAGGTATCTACAGACCTTAGGTTGTCAATGGGATCTTCTAGGTACGTACTGTACCACACCGCGTTCCCGATAACGAGAGCGGAGATCTTGAGCTGATTCAAAATTTCTAGAGGAACTTCAAAAACCGGAGGAGTCTTCGAACGTAAACAAGACAGAATACAGCCAGCCGCTCTGTACTGCGCTCCAGGTTGGCTTGGTTGACCTTCTCTCTCACTTCAAGATTACCCCCAAGGCTGTGGTCGGCCACTCGGCTGGGGAGATTGCAGCTGCGTATGTCCTTAGATTGCCTCTTGATCTTTCATCCTCATTATCTAACTGTATGCAGATACTGTGCTTCTGCCATAGATAGGCAATCCGCTTGGAAGATCGCTTTTTACCGTGGAAAATGGAGCAGCCAGTTGGAAAAGTCCAGCTATGTCAAAGGGGCAATGCTAGCGGTGGCATTGCCCACGAAGGATGTTGAGCCATACTTTGAGAAAGTAGCTGGTGAGTGCGAGATATTGAGATTAACAGTGGCCTGTATCAACAGTCCTAAAAGCGTCACTATCTCCGGCGAGGAGATACAAATCGATATGCTCAAGTCAGTACTTAGTGCAGAGAACATCTTCTGTCGAAAGTTGAAGGTCAAGGTTGCCTATCACTCATTCCAGATGCATGAAATCGCTGCACAATATCAGAGTGCGATGGGAGAGTTAGAGAAGGGTAACGAGCAAAAGATCCCCATAGAGATGGTGTCCTCTGTCACAGGCACCTGGGTCAAGCCAGAAGACTTGAGGGTACCTAATTACTGGGTACAAAATATGGTCTCACCAGTGAAGTTCTCTGATGCTTTGTTCACACTCTGCTCACATACAGAGACACCTAGACGGAAGCTTGATCGGAGTCACCGGCGTGCGTTTCCAATCCATCACTTGGTTGAGTTGGGTCCCCATTCCGCACTACAAGCACCTATCAAAGAGAACTTGAACAGTTCAAATCGGCAGTCAGTGGCATACCATTCGCTTCTCGTGAGAGGTGTACCAGCCACTGACACTGTTATGGCCGCGGCTGGCTATCTGCATGCAGCTGGCTACTCAATCGACCTGGGCGCTGTGAACAATCTGGAAAACCTCGAAAAAAAGGGTCTGCTTAAATCATTACCAGATCTGCCAGAGTATCCTTTTAACCATAGCAAGTCTTACTGGCATGAGAGTCAGATAAGCAGAAATCATAGAATACCTAAGATTGGCAAAAATGACCTTCTGGGTTCGCCTGATCCCAACTGGAACCCTCTTGAGCCGCGGTGGAGAAACATTATCAAATTGTCCGAGATGCCCTGGGTTCGAGACCATCAAGTGAGTTTCCTTCTGTGTTCGATACTCTCCCATCCAAGGCAGCAACAACTACAATAGGACTGCACTGACAATAGTTCTTGCTCTGGTAGATCAATGGTACCATACTCTACCCGGCAGCGGGAATGGTCGTCATGGCTGTTGAGGCAGCGAAGCAGTTGGCCATCGCTGGTCGACAGATCTCAAGTTTCAATATCAAAGATGTGACTCTCCATGCGGCAATCCCGATCCAGGAACAGAACGAGACTGTGGAAACTGCCTTTCATATGCGTCCAGTTAAGGAGCTTACATCTGCAGCATCCCATTGGTACGAATTTGCGCTCTACATGAACACAGATTCATCGTGGGTGTCAAACTGTACGGGCACTATCCAAGTTGCATATTATCCAGAAAAGCCAGACCCCGTAGACTGTGGTCACCTTGAGCGGGATCTAGTCAGCCAACAGATTAACGCGTATCTACAAGCTAGCAAAGAATGTACCTCCCCCGCTGAAGTACAAGCACTCTATTCTCACCTGAAAGCCTGTGGTTATGAGTATGGTGAAGCCTTCCAAGGAATAACTTCTTTGAGTGTCAACCCAAATGAC